TATAATACTGTTGAGGATACAATATCATGTCTTTATATTATTATTATTATAGTGTAATAATGTTATAGTTTAATAGAAACTGATAAATTTAATTAATTAATTAACTATATTATGCGGTCACTATTGTTTCTCAGTACAATATTACGTACCTATAATATATCAGCTATACTGCAGGACCATCCAAATTTGCATTGTTATTATTGAAGAAGATATTTTATTTCATTATTTATACTATTTTCTGATTGAAAAATATTTCATTTCCATTACGTTATACGCGTCTAATTATATTTTAATTCGATAAATATCAAATATGGTATCGACGATAAGACATGGTGGAAAAATTATTAAATTGTTTCATATCGGATCGGCCACCCTTCGGTCATAATACATTTTTGACATCGCTGGGAATACTATTATTGGAGTTTTGGATTTTACTTCATTCCTCGTCACAATATCATTACATTATAAATTATAATGTCCGAATATCCGATGTTTTTATTTTCTCATGGAAAATTTTTTAAATTTTTTTATTACGTAGATATTTTGAACAATATTGAAAATATATACTGCTGGCTTTTAATTATTAACGGAGTTAATCTAGTTAAGTTATCTATTAAACGGTAACGAGAAATTTATTGCAAACTGAAAAAAAATTCACTATAGGTACCTTATTCTATTTCCCCGGACAATTTATTACTATACATTTATTTATGCCCTTTATTAAACGTCAAGTTATTTTATTCATGAGTCATGACGTTCTAAAAACTGAAAAGTTATAGTTTTCTTTATAACTGTGTCGTTCCTTACCTTTATTTTTTTTTCTCGGTCACAACTTTGCCATAGGTATTAAATTAGTGTAATTAAACTCGAGTTCTCGTCGAAGGGTTGTTTAGATACCCATGTGCGTTTTATATAACTACTAACTATAGCTATTCATTATTAAGTGTATAACACAACTAAATAATATAATAATTATGCCTAACCAAAAATTGTAATCAAAGTACGATTTTTTAGTTTTGTTAACAACAATTAGTTTGGCATTATATCTACTGTGCATAGTTGTGAAGTGGAAAGTGGTAGCCGGTGAAATTAAAAAACGCCATAAATTATCCGCAAAATTATATTTATATATTTTTTAAAAACCTATTCGTTCAACTGTCGATATTTATACGTAAGTACCTAATAAGTATTCCGTTTCCGATTATGATTGATTTATTTCGACGTATTAAAATCAAAAGTCAATAGTTGGTTCATATTAGGTGTAAGTAACTGCAGTCTTAAATTTAAAAATATTTTTGAAATAATTAGTGCGTGCATCGTGCAAACGAATATTACGTCGTAGTATAATATTACAAACTTATATGCGGTATATATATATCCAACTATTCAAATTCAAAACAAATTTAATGTTTACAAGTATTATTATTATTATAACTGCTGGAATTTGCAGCTTTTCTCGAATAAGTAAAATTCGTTAAGTCGTGAAAACCGAGATTCGTTTGTTTATCACATAGTATCATAATTGCTACAGCGGAAACTTGGTTCGAATTATTAAAGTTTTTACTGCATCATTGTTATTCGGTTATGATTTTTAATTAGAAGATAAAACCCGCTAAGTTTGCCTCTTTATACTTGTACATTAATTAAGTTGATAATGACGTTTGCAGTTGTTGGAAACACTATGTTTGTCAAACAATATTACAACTAAATGCACTAATTATATATTTTTGTAAGGTTTAAACGCATATACGCTCGCAATACTGGTTTGCTTTTCGAGTAGTTTGAACGACAGTTGTACGAGATTATAATTATAATAATTTTAGTAAATTTCAATTTTTGGACTATTGCGAGAATTTTCCAAAAGTTCGTTAAATCTGCGTCCGTCGCGCGTTATGAACTGAACTACATTATATTATTATTTTAATGAATAAATTTAAAAGTGTTTTTGTCATTGTAAAGTATTATTATTATTATTATTATTTGCGTCGGTGGTCACATAATTTTATTTTATCGTGACCACCGATTTCGTGTTTTTTCACTTATTCGTGGATAAAATCGGAAGAGAAATAAAAACACTGCTAAAAAACACACCTCGATCTTAGGTACTTGAGGTGATTACTATATTATTATGATTTTGTTCTAATGCATGTAGTATTGTTGTCGTACTTATCGATAGTATTCGACCCATAACATATTATTCTGAATAGGTATTTGTTTTATTTTTATATCCATACAATACTTATATTATAATAATAAGTATAAGTACACGTCGAAGGTACTGCGGAAAAAAACAAATAACAATATATTATAATGATAAGCATTATCGCTTACTCGGAATTTACATTTAAGTTAGATGATATATGTGTATATTATTATGCATAATAATTTTTTCATTTTTTCATTTGTTCTTACGTATACACAATCTGTACCAGCAGCACAATAAAAGTATGAACAGTTGGAATGAAAAAGCCACCCATTGATGACACTTTCGTCTTTTATTTGTTAGTTAAGAATTTTTTTTTTTTATTAGATTAAGGATTGTGTTCTAGCAGGTCTCTGCACCAATTACACTTAAGGTGACGAGGAGAGTTTCCTGGAATGACTAATGTAGTTAAGTTCTTAATAAGTGGATTTGGGTGAGTGTTAAAACGTAAATGGAACCGTTTATAGTAACATTTGGCCTCTTCATGTATGATTTTCATTTTCATGGTATGTATAAAATGCTGGTCAATAATTTAATAAATTTATTTAAATTAACTAGACTTATTGTCAGATATAATTTATATACATATAGCAATTATAAAATTATACTATTTTATTTGTCTTATTTTATAACAGTGTCTTAAAGTGTTACAAATATTTAAATATTAAATATTATTATTATACAAAATGTTATTGATAACCATTATGCTCATAATATACAAATAGGTGTTTTAAATAAATAATTAATTTAATAACGAGTGATTTCTATAAACATTTGATCGCCTGCTTAAGATGGAGTAATTGGTTCTACGGTTGTACTGTGGTCTAAAATATAACACAGTTTTAAATAAATAGTAAATAAAAAGTGAACCTTAGAAATATTATTATACCTCAAAATATAAATTTAATTATTTATACAATTTTCAATTTTCCTCATCATTGGGTCCTTAGGTGCAGCGGTATCAAGGTAATTTATTTTTTATTACCTAGGTACTTATTAGGAATCAATTCCTACTTTGTTGACGATTTTCAGCAAATGGAGTAAAATTTACGTAAAAAATTCAATTCTATCAGGTAATAGTTTTTTTTATAAAAACAAAGTGCGTAGATTACGATGGCAGACTCTAGTTGAAATACTTGTGTGGGATGAAATAGGAAGAATAATATATTTTCGTCATTACACTAATTGTCTTTTTTTCTCTAGCTAATTAGAACACGACTTTGTGGTGAAAAACGCGAGTTACATAATATATATGTATTGAATTTTTACTCCACTACACAGTGATTTCCACTATTATTATAGTGCACACTCGACACGTTCGTCGTTCAACATAGATTTCATACACAATATTACAACAAAGTGTATTCACTCCGAACTATTTTTTAATAAGCACCGTAAATATGCATCATAGCTCCTAACTATTACAACTAATAAATCATATCTTTGATTCTTAGTGAAGCGATATCGTATAATTATTACATCATTCATCATCGAGTACCAAATATTATAATCAACCTATATGGGTCAGTTAATATAATATGTACACAAATATAAAGCAAAAGCCATCAAGTTTACATTGTACACCTAACCTCTCGGCTGTACAGTATTATAATAGGTCATAATATTATGTGACTATTGTACGATAAAAACGATTCTGACACGGTCTAAATAGATGGTTACCAAAATATTATTATTTTAAATAATAATTTTAAAATGTTAACAAATGTGATTATTGTTTTTCCCGATTATTTTTAAACGTATTCAGAAAATAAAAATAATAAGAAATTGTAAAATCAATACATTCATCACTCATTCGCTCCGCCCGGAATCTAAAATGATACATAAATTATAATAAGTAATAACTATAACAATAAATAGTAATAATAATCTTAAGTTCAATAGTACCTATAGAATGAAATTCAATTGCAATGTATAAAAATGTAGCAAGACGTTATAACTTGGGCCCTGTTTAAAAATTTAAAATATTATACTTATTAATAAGTGCAAAAACAAAAATAAAAGAGATGTACATGATGTAAGTACCTATTATTTTAAAAACAAATATTTATTGATTTGATTGTAGGTACCTGTAACTACACATTAAATTATAATATTTTTTTAAAACCATTTTGATTTCTGTAATATTTCCTTGCACATGTTAAGGTATTTAGGCCATCTCAGCTAAATTAATAAAAACAATCACTAACATAAAAACGTAAAAAAAAAAATATGTTAAAAAAAATTATTTTAATTTTCACCAATTCGTTCGTTTGATGTTATGATAATATTATTACAATACTTTACATTATACTATTATTTTTGTTTCTCGGCGAAAACAAAAACAAAATACGACAAACTCGGCGTGCGTGCGTGACGCGCACTCTTGGAAATTCGAGAGGATTCCGTTGAGAAATATAATTTTACCAACGAAAATAACAAAACTATGCATAATATTTATAAACGGTGCATGCGGTGCCGAGTGCGTTGACGTGTGCCCACGGCGGATTGTTGTTTCCACTTAGGTGCCGCCTCGCCAAACACGACTTTGCATATTATTGTCACTGTTATTGTTTTGGCGAGCTGGCAGGACTGCACCGCCAGTCGTTTCCTGGTTCGTTTCAGCCGACCGAAAGACAACAAACATAACAATAGCTGTTTATTGACGTACGTATAAAACTCGCGGCGCGACGTCCGACTAACGTCAAACGCTAATCGTTACGTGTCGGCGGCGTTACTCTTTCTGTACGTCATAAAAACGTAATACTGTATACACTGTCGGTCGGCGCTGCCCGTAACGATGACGACGAACGGCCGACGGGCCGGGGTGGTGATGTTGGTCGCGATGTGGACGGCACTGTTGTGGACGTGCTGTGCCGACGCCGCTGCCACGGCTGAATCCAACGACTGGCGGCCGTGTCGGGCGGCAGGTCACCGGCGGTACGACGAGGACGTCCACAGGAACATCGGCCATGGCGGTCCCGGGTACGAAGACTTTACCGGTGGCAGCAGCGACAACGATGACGGTGGCGAAACGGGTGGCGAAACGGACGATTACAACGATGACGACGATGGTGGCGGCAGCGATGAGGGATACATCCGGTTGCCGGTAGACGAGAAGCCGAAGCGCGGCGCGGTCAAGCAGTACGAAAAAAAGGCAGACCTACATCGGCCGGCGGCGCCTGCATCGTACGCGGCTGACGGTGCCTTGGCAAACGGTATGAGGGTGGACACGACGCTGCTCCGCGGCGAGACGATCGAACTTCCCACGTACGTCAACGTTCCCGTCACGTTAAAGTGCCGGTTCCAACCGGTGGACGGCACGGCCGACAAGTTCGATACCGTGGTCGAGGCCATGTACCCGGGACACAGGGACGCGCCACCACCCCCGCCCAGCTCTCATGCGTCCCGCATACTCAAGCAGCTCATGGGCTCGGTGGAAGGTTGGCGAGGTGTGACACACAATTCCGGGCGGTCCGTACGACGGGCTCCGGGAAACCGGTTTGGCCGGCGCGAGTGGCCGGCCATAGGAGACGACAAGGTCAGCGTTGGTTCTCCCAAGGCGCAGGGAGACGGCAGCTACAACCAGGCGGCCTGGAACATCATCGCCCGTCAACGCGCCGCCGAACGTATGCGACGGATCCACAACTCCCATCAAGACTTCTATTGGCCAGAATGGTTTCAAGAACAGTCGGCCCGACTATTGCAGAAACGAATCGACGGTCATCCGGTCGTAGTACGAAAACAGTCGGAAAACCAATTGATCGAAGACCAAGAAGCCGAACAAGATGTTTACGACCATGGATTCGACGATCCTCAAGTCGCACAAGTCTACGACCAGCAAGTCGATGGTCACCAAGCCGAACAAGTCGATGGACAGCAAGCCGAACAAGTCTTAGAGCAGCTGCAAGTCGACGATCCGCAAGTCCAACAAGGCTACGACCAGCAAGTCGATGGCCGGCAAGCCGAACAAGGCTACGACCGCCAAGTAGAACCACAAATCTACGACTTGCAACAAGTAGAAAATGTCGACGATTCACGGCAAATAGAAAGCGTCGACGACTCGCAGCAAGAAGAAAGATCCTACGACTCGCAGCAAGAAGAAAGATCCTACGACTCGCAGCAAGTAGAAAGATCCGACGACTCGCAGCAAGTAGAAAGATCCGACGACTCACAGCAAGTAGAAAGATCCGACGACTCACAGCAAGTAGAAAGAGTCCAGCCGGAACTCGACGGCCGACACGTCGAACGGGTCAAAGACAGAGCTGCTGCAGAAGAGGTTGACGACCGGCGAGTGCAAGGCGGAAGTCTTCCGGTCGACGGCCATCAACTACAGCGTGACATGAAGGTGACGACCACGCCCGAAACCACCACCTCAGTCATTTCAGATTTCGCAAAGTTCCGCAAAGGCATACCTGTCAGGACTTATTTGGAACACGCTTATACGACGGACTCGGCACAGTAGTCATGTCGTAAAGTGTCGAAGGTAATAATACACTATTGAGGCGATGGGACGCCTTGTCGTCGATCGACTCATTTATTTATACATACAATACTCGACATGAGTTGTGTTTTTAATTGTAATTTAAATTATTATTTTATCGTTTTTTTACGTATTTTGTATTATTTATGCGATTTATAATAATTGCTTATTGCGTGTGCCAGACTGTTTATATTACAACACTATTATTATACTTTATAACTAAATGCATCATTCCATCGACATTGTAAAAAAAAAAAAACTATGTTTTATTTTGCATTTTTATGAATATATTTTATACGGCTATTGTTTGCCATGGTGTACATTCCTTAGTATTCTAATAATCAGCCATAATATATTTTACTTCCCGGAAAGATATTGTATTTTCCAAATAGTATAAGACATGAATAGCATTATATTATATTAACACAGTAAAATATGTTTTCAAGACGAAACAAAACCTACATCATATTGATCGAGAGTATTAAAATTGTAAAACTATCGATCGAAAAATATACATCACTAAGGTAGTTTAAGTAGGTAAGGTTAGCTACCTGTTGTTATCCATAAATTATAATCAGTATTCATATATATACTCAACTATAATATAATCATAGGCGAAGGGTGCTTTTAATTTCCAGGGTATTAATAATTTATATGAAGTAATAAAGTAAGTACCTACCTTATATTCGTACCTAAAATTATTAAATGTAATTTTCTCAATAGTATTGACCATATAAAACTATAAACGATATTGGATAAAATAAAGTAGACATAGACGGTAAAGATAAATTATTGCAAAATGTACATAAAATATTTATTTATTTTTTATTATTATTTATTGATATAAAATAATTCGAATCAAGATAGGTAGATAGTAAATTCAGTAGAAAAAGCTTAGAGTATAGGTTATGAAAATAAATGTCTACAAAATATAATGTTTTACTTAAACCTCGAATAAAATACTTTTGTTTTAAAGTGTATTACAGTTAATTTGGTTTGAAAATAATAGAAAAAAAAATTTAAAAAAAATTGCTTACTTTTTTCCCGATCAATGACAACTATTATTTTATTAAATTTTTCATATTTAAGTCAGAACAGTTTGTAGATACAAAAGAAGTGTTCTTGAATTCAAAAAATCAATTTTCGAGATAAATTGACATAAATCACACACAGCAGTAATACGTTTTAAAAACATATTTTATATAATATTTTTTATTGAAATCAAAGAATGTTTTTAAAACATTTTTATTCATATAGGTAGTTTTTATAGTTAAATTTCAAACTTAATTTAATTTTTTTCTCATATTTGTTTTTAGGGTTCCGTGCGGTAAAACGGGACTCTATTACTAAGGCTCCGCTGTCCGTCCCTTCGTCCGTCCGTCTGTCACCAGACTGTATCTCATGAACCATGAAAGTTAGAAAGTTGAAATTTTCACAGATTATGTATTTCTGTGGCCCCTTTAATAACAAATACTAAAAATCCTAAAATATATAATATAAGCAGTGTTGCCAACATGTTTATAGATGATGGTACAGAACCCTTCGTGAGCGAGTCCGACTCGCACTTGGCCACAATATATTATACTGAAAATTGGTATTTTTTGATTTACTTAATAATTTGTACGATTAGGTACCTATTAGTTTAACGAGTTGTATTGCAATAATACAAATTTGGTTACACGGATTTCTGAATAGAACATTTAGGTACCCACGTTAGTGTCGTTTGTCAATATTTTGAAATCTGATTCTAATTGATAATAACGTTTTCCTTTTCATCAATGAGACTAACGCAATTTAATGACATCAGTTTTTTTGCGCAACGAAAAAGTAATATTGTTACCTTTTTTCAGTCTAATGAGTAATGTTGATGTCTATTACTTTAAATGTTAATTTATGATTATAAATTTATATCCCATTTCATATTCATATTTCATCTAAATTATCCAACCAGTTATTTAATTTTTTTCAAGATATCTTTTGAATTTAGAATATATTTTTATAATTTATACAGTATAAATTGGTTTTGTAAAATTTATGCACCATATATGGTCAGTAATTATTATTTTTATATTTTCAAGTTATAATAATAATATAAGAATATAATATAAGCTAACGTAAAGGTGACAAAAAAAATAATTTTTTTTTTTAAATTTTATATGTTTTCTGGAAATATTGTACATTCATGTTGTCAAGTTCTTCCGTATCTGTAACAGCTAAGAGAATTATTGTGGCATTTTATTTTTCAAAGGTTCACATTTCATATTCAAACCTCTCAGATCCCTAGTTTAACAATCAATATTGAACAAACACTAAATAGGTTACATAATATTGTGATAAGATATTCTTACCTTTCTGAGAAATCACATTCAATATGTCAAGATAGAATTATACAAAACTTCATGAATAATAGTAAGACAAATAAAAGTTTGAATGGAATAAGTAAATATAACAATAATAATATTATAATGAGTCTTGCATAATATATACCTATCATGAATATAATTCAAGATTTGTGAAACCACTACAGCTATATGGTTACCGATGAGGTTTCAGCAGCAGACCAGTCATCTGCACATATACATATTTTGACAGTTTCTTTGGAGTTTCCTACAAGTCCATAGTCCATTCATTGAAGACTTGTGTATATACCTAAGCAGAACTACAGGTAAACAACTATTAATATAAATTTTCCATAATATTAATTAATTAATTAATTAAGAATTATAGGTTATACAAATTGAAGACATAGATAATTATAAACTATAATACCTAAACATATTACTTATTGTCTTAAATATGGTATTTAAATGATTATATAATATTCGAAACATTTTTAAAAATAATTTTTTTTTGGTTATAGATAAGTTTACCTACTATTAAAAACAACAACTGTTAGTACTATAATAGATATTAAAGAATATAAATTGTATCACCTAATATTTTAGATTCTGAGCGGAGCGAGGCACCTAGTGGTTTTACAATGGTGTTTATTTTATTTTATATCCTGCATACAAAATATCTACCAGAAAGAGTGCATGGTGGAGATGCTGCAGAAATGGATATGGAATTTCAAACAAATGCGACAGTGGCGTATACAGAAATAATTTTTTTTATACGCATTTAAAGTTCAAATATTGACAAAATACCCAAAAATTAAGAACATTTTCAAATTATTTTGAGTTAGAAATTCATAGAAAATTTTCTTTTTAAATCTAAGATTTTAAAATGTGATACGAGATTCCTCATAAGTTTGTCTAAATATATCAAAGAAAAAATGTCTAGAAGAAAGTAAAATTAAATTTTTATGAGTGTTTGAAATTCAAATTTTTACAACATTGGATATTCACACGATTTCAGCGATTTTCTTATATTGTTTTAATTCAAAAACGAATAACTGAAGATACATGAAAATTTTACTGAAAGTTTATTTTATCAATTTTTATAGTTGTTGATGTATAACGCGTTATAAGTACCTAATGGATATTGTGATATGATTAATTTGGAATTTATTATAGGTACCTATTATAGGTCAATTTTTTTTTTTTTAATCCCATAGATATTTATATAATATGTCTTATACCTAGACTGACATACCGTCTCCGCTCAGAATCTCTTATATGATGATATTATATCATTGAATTCAAATGTAATACCATACAGTGACCCACATGTAACCTACTGTACAGCACAGCACCTTTTTTAGTAGTATATTCCTACATAGTAAATTAAAAATATTGCAAAACATTTATTTTTATATGGGAGCAAAATAATATTATTATATTTATTAATTTTATATTAATTTTAAGCGTACACCCGCTACATGTCAAATGGTTACATAATATTTTATATTTTTTTTACTAGGTTTCCTTGGCAGATTGTACTTAATTAATGACACCTCAAATTAATCAGTATATTTTCTTACTAGCATATTTTATTAAACTTGATGTCTGATAGTCCTTATAGAAAATAGAGTATGTATCATATTAAAATATAATTAAATAGGTTGATAATATTTTAATTGCAAAATTCAAAATTGTTTGTGTATTTGTAGTTATTTTTCAAAAATAATTATTTAAGGATACAATCTGAGTTTTCTGATCTTCTTTAATTTTATCTTTAAAATCATTTTCGTTCCTGGGAAAATTGATGTCACACAGACTCTTGTAGACTTATCCCCATTCCCTCAGTACATAACTTAAAAAAAATATTAAGTTAAATACATAAGAATAAAAAGTACCTATATCATATTATTATACCGACAATAGTTTGTTAAAATATTAACTAACAATCATTTCTAAATAATATACCTAATATAATGTGACATTGATGAATTTGGTTTTTTTATTGAAGTATCACGCATAGTATGAGTTATATTTCAGGTTAAGTGAAAAAGTAATTTAAAATATTGCAGTATCAAGTTTATACTACCCACTCGTGTAAAAAGAAAATAATTAAAACATAAAATGTAGTCAACTTAGACAACTTTGACTTGTGATGCAATTTGGTCGGAACATTAATTAAACATTTGTTTTGTATCAAAACGCGCAGACCATGTTGAAAATAATTAAAAAGATATATACGTGCGAGTGTATACGTACGTGAAATAAAGTTGAAGGTACAAACTAAATTTATCTTCAAAATATATGCTGCACACCCACATATGTTGGTGTTTTAACTGAAATAAACTGGATTTGACAGTCTTTTAAACTATGTAACATTTAAAACGTCTAAAAAGTTATAAACAATATGGGTATACATAACATTCACATTCTCTATATACAGCGAGTATTTATTAAACTTATTTTATCTGATGTTTAAACAATAATATTATTATTATTTAACTTAAAATATGCACTTTCTTATTAAGAACGTTTTATCTAAATACAAAGTAAACCACAGAGAATTAATTTGTCTCCGAACTTAGCAATTTTAAGAAGGTACTTAAGGGGATTCGATCCGGTGATTTAATAAGGGGTCGTGTA